ATAGAGTACTCGGCGGTAAAGAATAAATTGAGTTTATCAACACGCAGTAGGGCAGCGAGTAATATAATAAAGATTAGCAGTAAATATGAAAACTCATCTACAGAAAAAAAAAAACATTGCAATTGCATTACATTTTCACAACACCACCATCTATCGAAGAAATGGGAAAACTATTGTGCTTCAGATTTAGTTAATAAGGTTAATATATTTTTGTATAATATATTTAATACGTTTTTTAATACTTTTGTTTACTGCGTTTTAGATATACATAATTATATCATTATTTTACATAATTTAACTATGATTTATGATATGATATTAGTTTAAAATGCACCTGATGACTCAAACAAAGCCACCGTTGAGCAAATTCGTACCTATACTTCCCTACCCATACTTCAGAATATTTATCATAACTTTTGATGGAATGAACTGATTTTAATGAAATAAAGACTAAATGTAACCCGAAGATACACTTTATAATTTCCTTAACAATTCTTATGATATAAATTAGTACTTTATACGTGATACGTTAACAAACAAACAGACAGACAGACAGACAGACAGACAGACAGAAAATTCTAAAAATGGTAGAAATGTATTTAATTACTTATTTTTAGTACCCCTCAATCACTTTTATTACAAAAATATAAAATGTACAGACATCTGCTATTTACAGTTTTATTATATGTATAGATAATAAAATATTCTCACAAAAAGGCAGACAGTTTCTCCGGGGGTTACTAATTTAAAAATCTATACAATTAAATAAAATTTAAATGTCTGTTTTTAATTTCAAAATAACAATTTTTTACTAAACGCATAAGACATTATATACGATATTTATAACAAAAACACAATTTTTAAAATTTTTGTCTGTCTGTTTGTTCCGACTAATCTCCGAAATGGCTGGACCGATTTTGACGGGACTTTCACTGGCAGATAATTGATGTTATAACGAGTATTTTAGGCTGCTTTTAAATTTAAAAAAAATTATTAGGGTACCGCGCAAAAAAAATAAAACCCTAAATTACATGCGGGCGAAGTCGCGGGGAACAGCTTTTTATTTTATCAGCAGCTATTTAAATAATCTTAAAAAAGTATAATTATTTTCATGTTTGTCAATTGGAATCGGATTCTGCTGTCAATGTACTTATCAAATCATGTGATACAGATGTATTAATTATTATGATAGGAAATATGGACCATTTAAAAAGTGATTATTTATTTGTATAGATTTTTAAATTAGTAACCCCCGGAGAAACTGTCTGCCTTTTTGTGAGAATATTTTATTATACATAATAAACACGCTGTAAAAATGGCAGACTGAATCAAACACTTTTTTTGGAATTTTTGAAAATACAACTTTGTGGTCGTCTGCCCCTATGTAAACCCCTTCAGAAGTGTCTGCCATTTTTTTTCTTAATTGTTTATAAACTTAGCTAACGGATAGTCATTATTATTATTTGAATCAAACACTTTTTTTTGGGCAAATTTTTTTTCGACTTAACTGTATGCGCAGTACCAGGTGTACCCAGGTAGGCCAGGCAGACAGTCATATACCTGCTTATTGAGTCGACTGATACCTTTAAACAAAGTTTCATGATGCATCAAACACTTCATGAAAAATGCGTCATGAGCTCTCGGACCATCAGTCCTCACGGCTGACAACGCATCTGCATTTTGATTCGCAAACGAAGATAGATGTAGATGTCTATGGGCCACAGCAACCACTTACCATCATGTGGACTGTGTGCTCACTTGTCATCCTTATTCTATAAAAAAATAAATAAAAAAAACATTAACAAAACATGAAATAAATATTTTACTGACGATTTTATTATTTCGGTGAAATTCTAATATATATATATATATATATATGCCTTTATGTTAGTCTATTGACTTACGCTATACTGAACGGAAATCGCGGATCTTCCGCGGTGGAACGCTAATACATTTTATTGCATATAAATTTCCGTTCAGTGTGACGTAGGCGGTATTGGATCTTACAGCTTCATCTGATACAGGGTATTCATCATCATTACAGCCCATCACAAAACAAATTAGCGTCTTCCAAGGTCAGAGCACGGTCTTCAGCCACCCGTATTTATCGACTTTCCGTATCTTTTACCACGTAATCACTCCATCTAATGGATGAACCGAAAACTTTTTGTCCCCTTATTTAAAAACCAAACAAAGTAACTAAACATACTTTATAAGTTTTATTAATATTTTAAACATAAGTTCCATTTTAAAAGTTAATAAGTACCTCGTACATGTTTTTGTTATTATGTCTGTTTTTTTTAATTTTTCTTGGGCTGTAGTTACTGCTTAAAAAGCCTTGTGTTAGGAGAACAATAGACACTTAAGAGACTCGAAACTGTCTCGAACTGCTTCCAGCCTTAATATTTTTCTAAAGTATATACTACCAGACCAGGCAGACGTTGTTCTGCTCTTTCCGACGACCCTTTGTCTAATAAAAGAAAACCTTAAATTCGCAATAAAAAATATTGAAGGTCACATATCGGCATAAAACTATCCTATCCCTCAAGTTGGACCAAACAGCACATAGTGTGCAAAATTTCATTGATTTCAATTCAGTAGTTTAGGTATTCATCGCGGACAAACAATGTGACATGTAATTTTTATATATAAAGATGTAAAGAATATTAAATATAAACATTTGTTCACCATCGTTCACCACAGCCTATCAAAAGTCCATTGCTAAACTGAGGCCTTCCTCATAGATTTCCTGATAAGGAAGATATTTTTCATAATTGCCACCTTAGGCTGGTTCGTAAACGCAGTTTCTTTATTATTATTATTATTAAGTCGTAGTCAGGAAGATGCTGTTGCCCATCTCCTGTTTAATTTCCCTCAGCTGTCTTTTACGACTCCTACGTAAGTTAGTTTCTCTTAAGGCGCCAATACACGGCGGATAACAATGCATATCTATACAAATAAATAAAATTCAAGTGTCTGTTTATAATGTCGAAATTACAGCTTTTTACTAAATGCATATGAAAGTAAATATGGTACTTATAACTAAAATACAATTTTTAAAATTTTTGTCTGTCTGTCTGTCTGTCTGTTTGTTCCGGCTAATCTCCGAAACGGCTAGACCGATTTTAACGGGACTTTCACTGGCAGATAGCTGATTTCATAAGGAGTAACTTAAGCTACTTTTATTTTAGAAAAAGAATTAGGGTCCCGCGCAAAAACATAAAAACCCTAACACGCGGGCGAAGTCGCAGGGAACAGCTAGTTTATTATATTAATGTACATACTTTAGATACAGATATTTTCATTAGATATTATAGATACTTAAACTAGACGGCTTTACCGTCTAGTGGCAGCATTGGAGAAACTAACTACCCCATATACAAAGGGAAATGAAACAGTACGACAACACAAAATAATAAAAGCGAATGGTTGCCAACCCACCTGCCTAGCGTAACCTCTATGGCAAATATCCTCCCTTTAAGAATGTGCTGTGTGTTCAAATATCCCCCTAACCTATGGAAGAAGACCTAATATTCAGCAATAGACTTTCGAGAGGATGAAATGGATGATTGAATGAATGAATTATAAAATGAATTTATTTCAGACTTTTGGTCCATAAGAGGGTTAGTACAAAATATGAACTTACAAATTATGTTAGTAAAACATAATTTAAAAAAAACTACACTATGACATTAATTTAAATATTTCCAGGCCAGTTCGTGACACCAGTTATACACGTATGTGTGTATACCCAGTGCCCCATGACTGGAAAGTCTGGCTTATCACTAATGACCTTCAGAATAATGTTAGAACTCCCTCGCGCTCTGCGCATAAGAGACGCGATTCGTTGGCGAATTACAGCGTGAAAACCGCCAGTATGCGCTAGCACAAACATCCTTGATGCACTGCAAATCACGGGAGTCCCAACATCACTCTGAAGGCATTATTATATTAAACTCGGAAAGCATTGATAGCCCGTTGCGTATAGTTAACCCACAGATTACATTATCCATTTCGATTTTTAAATTTACCGTTACTGTTCCACCTTATCAAAATTGAAAGGCAAAAGGCCTTCTGTATAGATTGCTTCAGAAGGTGGATATTTGCCATAGTTGCGACCAAGTTGCGACGCTTGGCAGTTGGTTTAACAACCGCAGTTCTTTTTTAGTTGTTATTAGAAGGACGCTGTTGCCTATCTCCTGGTATGTATTCCTTTGTCGCCTCCCACGACACCTACGGGACGATATGGGTTATGTAGTGGATATTCTTACACCTATACGCTGAAAATATTGTGCACGAATATCAAAATACCGTTTTTGTGAGAACATAATGCTATTTTTTTATTTATTTTTTTACTGTCCAATGAAATTTTATTATATACAATATTTAAAACTATAATTAAAAAAAACTAAAACTAGTAACTTAATTATCATACAGTCCTACTCCGCGCGGCATCGTGCCAAGAACGCTGGCTGCGTATCCCCGCTGAAGGGCTATACTTAGTCTTTGAGCGAGAAAAGAACCAGCCCTCTTATCACCAGCAGCAACGATCAGTCGTGGATAGAGTTCCTTTAGGAACTTCACCGCACGTGGACCTCATGGACCGATAGTCTCTACAGGCAATGGCACAAATATGTAGTCGTCTCTCAGAGATTTCAGATATTTTATTATATTGAAAATAATTATAGTGAAAATGTATATATTCTTACTGCAATTTAATGTATAAAGTATTCTTTTACAAAGTAATCTACATACTACATTTCACTACTTCTGGTAAAAAGTACTTATTAAATAAGCAATTATGCCTTCGGAAAGTATTAATCAGAAATAACTTCTTGACATTCAATTAGAAAAAACAATTAAAGTAATTAAATTAAGCGAGTTATTAACCGAGTCAATCTATTTACGTTTACAATCATATCAAAAATAAATATGACAAAGAAAGTAACCTCAACACGAAGGAAAACAGCAATGTTTTCACTCAGATTACTCTTACGTACCTTGTACAGCAGCTAACGGGGGCACCAAATCCATATCTCGAAAAGGACGTTTCGCACAATACAGGTCGCCTTCCAAAGGATCAGTTACGCGAAGTGACAACACAAATTCCAAACATCTGCGACCTTGGCGACATCATGTCACGTCATGGCCATGACATGTTTAACGACGCATGCGTATTGAACGCCAGGCTAGGAACTTGCGAGGGTTGCCAAATGATGACGGAAAAATACATTTTTTTCTGAGATGTTATTTATGTTCTGTGATAGATATTCGGTACTTCATGTAAAACATTCGTGGAATGCAGCTGTTGCTTTGGTTCTGCAGTGCTTGTATTACTTATCTATTTTCCGAATAAACTCTTTCTTTAAATTAAATTTAACAAATAATCCATATAAAATTAAAAATAACAAATAATAAAAATGTTAGTCATCGTCATCACAGCGACATATACAGCTTACAATATAATGCAATACAATACAACATCTTTATTTTAGGTATCGAAGGCTTAAAAATTAAGAACATTGACCCATAAAAATATATTAAACTAAAAATATATACAAAGATAGATACACTATTTAGGGTACTTTGGCGCGTCCCTCTATCGGCGATACACTTCCAGAGATCCAGAAATCAGGAAAGAGGAATGTCTCTTTATATATTGCAGGAACCCGGAGTACATAAAATTTAGCCAAATAAATCTTGCCATGAAATAAATATTATTTTAAATGGCGCTTAATTTTAATAGACGCTAGTACTATTAGTAGTAGCTAGTGCTAGTGTATTTGTTAATTAATAATACCTTTATCAATAATAATTACACTACGAAAGGAACTTCGTTCCAACCGAGTGTTCCACCACACTCAAGCGTGTTTTTTTTTGTTAATAGTCTCGCATCTCACTCTCCCATCACACTCACGTTTTTTTTTAAATCTCCATCACGCTTTTTTTAAAACAGAGTTAGAAAAATGAATCTTTGAACACACCCTGAGTCGTAACAGCTCAGACAGTTATTTCACAATACGTGAGCGAACCGATTTCGATCCTCGCCGTCACCAACGAAACTGCTAAATGCAATTTTGAATACTGATTTACTTCGTCTCCGGTGGGAACCAAAATATTGTGAGGGAACCTGTATGTCTGAGAAATTAAAATATAAGGATAAAATAAAGTGTGCCAATACGCTTTGGGCAACTCTTTGCAGCTGACTCATCTTTGCCTCGGATCATTCGCAAAAACAAGAAGAAGCCTGTGTCAGCAGTGGTTATCATAAGAGCCGCCAGAGGGCAATCGAATAGGAGATCGGCAGCAGCATCATCCTGATAACAACAAATAATAAAAGCTTTTAGAAAAATTTACTTCGCAAATATCCGCGTTATAAAATAAAATGATGTGTCTTACCTAGTATGAAGAGCACCTCCCGCCCTCCCTCAATTGCGTGCACTATCCCCGTCAACACTAATCCCAGCACCGCTACTCCCAACACCACTACACTAGGCAAGACACACCACTGACGATAATACGACTCGTGTTTCGCCTCTACACACAACAAATAATAATAAAAGCTGAGGTTGCCAACTCGCTTGAATAAACTTGCAGCGAGCTCTGTAAGTCTAATTACATCTTTACTCTGCTCTACATAAAAGCCTCGTTGATCTAGCGGTCGTTAACGCGTCTGCTGATCATGTGTTCATGGGTTCAAATCCCGTGTCGGGTTAAAAATCAGTTATTGGGTCTATCTGTCAAGAAATTCTCACTAGCAGCCTGGAGTCAGGATGTTGGTGGTGTCAGGCCTCTGTTACTCCTGCTACCTGCGTGAAATAATTACCTACAATCGCGGGGTGCCTCCGGGGAAGAACGCTGTTAGGGCTAGCGCGTTCTAGGCGACTGCATGTTAAAAGTTTTTTAACATTGAATCGCCTAGAACACGCATTTTACGTAATAAATAGTTTATTGTAAATACTTGTTGAAATACACGTCAAAATAGTTTTTGTTTAGTGTTTACTATATTTAATTGTAGGATAAAATAGTTCTAAAGTTTTAATGTTATTTAAAAATAATATATATGTATATTACCTATCTATTTTGTAAATTAAAATGGCAAAACGTTATTCCTACTATAGTTGTTGCGGGGATGGGATGGATACTTAATGAGCAAACGAAAATGATTCAAATGTATCATTTTTTTAAATTACCGAAAGATAATGAAAGGTGAATTAATTTCATTTTTTGTTAGATAAGTACTTAAAGCGAAAAAAGATATAAGTAATAATTTAACTACAGAACTAATTCCTAAGTACTTTATTACAAAACTTAGTTACATACCTATACTTTTCTTTTGTAATTAATATGTCTTAAGTTATAATAACACAAAATACTGCAATTTACATATAACCTTTGTTTACAAGATTTTCAACTAAGTAGAATACGATCACATTTCTGTTACGAATCGCATTTCGGGTTTATTTGTTGTTTACACTATCTACCTATTTCTTACGAGCCAAGCATCGCGCATCACAAAACTCACGTAGCAGCAAAGACTTATTAAAAGCGGAAATATGGTCGATCATAGTCAGAATAGGTACTTTACCAAAGTAACTTACATACAATTTCACAATGTATTTTTTTACTCTTTATTAACAGCCCTTAGCAATCACGAAAAGTCCTCCATCTCGCGCGCAGTGATAAAGTTTTATATACGAGTAGCTTCCATGTGCGGTTTATCTGATTAATAATAACTATGTAGGTTATTAAAACTTCGGCAAACAGTTAACATCAAAGGAGTGTAACTTCTGTAGGTAGTACTATTATTAATTCTGTGGTGGTGTTTCACCCCCGTAACACGAAAAGAACGTAAAGCTATTGTACCACCGCAGTTATTAACAATCTTTTTTTTCTTTTTTTTTTTCTAAAAAACGTTACCCTCACACTATATTTTCTCCTTTGTCGTGGAGGCAGTTTACAAACGTAAATTGCACGAGCATAAACATTCAGACCCGGAACAATTATTTATAGTCCATACAAATAGTTGTTCCGTGCGGGATTCGAACCCGCGGCCCCCAGCGCAACAACTCATTGCTAAGCCACTGCGCCACGAAGCCGTCCAGTATGTAACCATATGTAATCGCATATTGTAATGCGATCGTCAATCTGTCTACCAGTGAACGTTTACGGACTAAAGTTGATCATAATATAAAATGTATATATATATATATATATATATATATATATATATATATATATATATATATATATATATGTGTGAAGAAAATACTTACAGATAATTTACATCAAATTAAAACTACTACAGAATTAATAATCGATCACGGCGGAGACATATAGCCCTCTAAGTGAGACAGGAATATAGTACACGCTGCTGTGTTTCGTATGGTGAGTGTAGAGAACCGGATACCCTTTTTACTACAAACTAGACATATCATTTTAGTCCTCAGGGGTAATGACGCATCTGGATTTTGATTCTCAATAGAAGACACATATAGATGTCTATGGGCCACAGCATCCATTTACCATTAGATGGACTGTGTGCTCGTTTGTGACCCTTATTCCATAAAATGAATAGATAAATAAGCATACGTGCACTTTCTATTCTCTCCAGTAGGACCGACGGCTTTACGTACTCCTGAGGAAAATCCGTCATCTTACTAACGGAGAATACTAAGAATTTATTGACTAAAATAAAAACCTAATAATAGATTCTGTACCGACCCAGGATATGAACTCGGCACCGGAGGCTCAGCAGTCGCACTACCTTGCGCCACTAAACCAACAAGGCAGTTACGGACATTAGTCACTAATTGTTCAAAGTCCAAAACAAAAAAGAAATGAGAGTAGCCTTGGAATATATTAAGGCTGTAACTCGCTGTAACATTACTTAACTTATACTTATGATTAAACTTTATTTAATAAAGTAATAAGTATGTGGTTAGTAATTAACCACGTACTTAACCAGTGTTGAAACTAACATAATTTAAATAGTTTAAAGTAAGTTTTTGCGTTATCAACTCACAAATTAACCTACGACTCTACTACTACCACATGTTTGATATTTATTTTTAATCCTGCAACACGTGAGGGACGCGACTGCTGTCGATTGTTTGATTGAATCCGCCGGCTCTAATGTTCGCAGTTCAGACACAATTGTCGGTTATCGGGATCGGGAGCCCGGCCGTTCGTTGTGTAACTATCGCACAGGAAGGATCGTGTTGCTCGGAATTATACTCAGATAACTCGCGATACACGCGAACAAGTATAACGTGTTTATTTAAAAAGCACACAAAAATCACTTGGATGCTAAATTCAATATTAAAGAGTGCAAAATTCAAAAGTGTATTAAGTGTTTTTAAGTGAAAAATGCGACAATGCCTCCGTACGCAAAACGGAAACCATCAACGGATGAAGCAAACACGAGATGCTGCAAGAGGCTGTCGGTGTTTGCGACTCTCTGCGGAGTCATGTCGTTATTAATTCACACGTATCAATTTATAGAAAACGATGAATTTAAGGAAAAACTTAATTTAGAAAGTAGTGCAATCAATAACATTTTAAAAGCAACAGTAGAAGAGAGGATTGAAGCGTATATTTCAGAAATGACGGTCGCAACTTCACATAGACTGAAGAGAGAAGCAATGCTGGTATGTTTAATAGTTTTATTCATTATAAGTCAGTTCTTAACTACAATAAGTGATGATTAAACCTTAGATGGCAAATCGCACTGTCTTAGCGTAACAAAAGCCTATTCACTCTTGCCTTGAAGACGCCCAGATTGTAATCGGACGGAAAGACTATACACTTTACTTTTTATAACTTCTAAATTCATCATCATTTTCGCAGCCTGTCAAATTTCCAAATACATTACCTCTAAGGAGATATTTGCCATAGATGTCAAGCTTGACGGGCGGGTTCACCTTACGACACGCACAGAATGATATGGGGTAGTGGATATTTTTACACGGACACTACATGGTTCTTAATTATCAGCTTTCTACATACATACCAGTTTACCATTGTTTGCATCATGCTCCTCTTCTTCTTCCTCACCAGCCCGTACTAGTCCATTGATGAATATGGGTTTACCGTTATAGTGAGATGACATAAACATCACGCTTGGTAGTCAGATTGTCGACCGCAGTTCCAGATGCCTCGTACCTTTGACGTGGAGGATGCTCGTTTCAGTGGTAGCATGCTCGCCAGCCAGATTACATTTCTTTTAAATAAAAGTTGAGATAAAAATGTACTTATGTAAATATGTATGTATTTTATGTATGTATGTGTGTATGTATATAAGTAGTGTAGTTGTACCACTTCTAGACCACCTGAGTCAGACGTGGAAAAAAAAAAAAAAAAAAAAAAAAAAAAGGTTTTGGCATGCTCTGATCACGAATCCGCGGTCCATTTTTGTGTAGAATGCACGGTTCCAGAGATGTGTAGATCAATTAGCTAATATCTAATTGATATCCGGTAAGGGCCTCCACCGTCATTAGCGTCCCATTGTTGTTCCTATTTCTATTGTTCTATTGTTCATTAATCACCTTCATTGCAACGTGTGCGTCGACTATACCAGTGCTATTGTGTTATAGTTCTTTGTTCCTAATTATACAACGCTAATCTGAATCATCAATAAAACACATTACATAATTTTGTTACAATTTTTATTTATAAAATACAAAATCTTATTAATTATTATCTATAAAATAGGAGCGAAACATCTCATCCACTAAAATATCGTTGTACAATGTGTTCCTTGTAAATATACTCGTAAAACTATGTATTGAACATCCTTGAAACTTATATAGCAAATACATTAAGCAATATTCGCCACAAACTGAAGTCCACTCATTTTGAATCCTATCAACATTCCAGTTCCATCTTTTACAATTCCTTTTTAAAAACTCTAGATGATATCGTACAGGTGATCGTCCATATGAATCAAAATATTGACCGACGTCATTCGTATCGATATATAAAGCTACCCAATGTGACCCTGGTTTATCATCTGTATCCAAATTACATATTATATACGTTGGTACGTGGGTATACATAGGCAGTCTATTAGCTGCATAAACATTATTTTCTAGACTGGGGTGAATCTTTTTCAGATGTTGTTGTACATCTAGTGTATCCATGATATTACTGCTATTAGTAGATTATTACAGTACCTAGCTACTCAATGAATAACATAGGAATGGTCAATTATAGTGATTTCTACATATTAAATTGCATTTTTGTGATATACAAATCGTACTTGAGTCATTGATCACCAAACAAAACACAATACGAAGAAATGTTGAGATAGGCAACGGAAATGTGAGATAAACTGATATGTTTCTAAATATTAAATTGCATTTTTGTGTTATACAAATCGTACTTGAGTCATTGATCACCAAACAAAACACAATACGAAGAAATGTTGAGATAGGCAACGGAAATGTGAGATAAACTGGTTGACGCATAAAGTAATTATCAACTTATTACGGAAATACTTTAGATTAGAATTTTTACGTACTGGTGGTATATAAGACCAACAAACGCAGTCATCGAGTTAGTGTACGGTCGTTTGGCTACAGTGGATCTATCAATAGTACATTTGTGTTACTTCAATACACCAAAGGCTATGGATGTAAGTGTTTATTCTATTGACTAAATTACTTTTTTTTCTGTTATTTTCATGTGTGTGTATTATTTTATTTAAATATTGTGTATGTATATGATTAAGCCGTGGTAACTCAGATGGTTAGCGCTAGCTGTAAATTTCACAGTACGCGACCCGGGTTCGATCCCCGCCAGCACCAATTAAATTGTTAATAGCAATTTTAAGTGCTTATTACCACGTGCTTGGTGGTGAAGGAAAACATCGTGAGGAAACCTGCATGTCTGAGAAAATTTCGAAGGCATGTGAAGTTCGCCAACACACATTGAGGGAGCGCGGCGGACATTTCCTTGCTCTAAAACCCTCTCAGAAATGAGAGGAGGCCTATGTTCAGCAGTGGACTTTAATAGGCTGTAACTTTAACTTTTTTAACTTTTATGATTAAGTGTTAACAAATTGATATTAACATGATAACTGTGTTGTTGCAGAAATCATTGAGCTTCGATGAAGATACCTATAAACAGTATTACTACTCGCCACTCTCCCCTCAAGAAGAGAGTGATAACCTCGTCATTAATAATAACACATGCGATGGTGGAAAAAGAAAATCGCAATCGATTGATCATTTTTTTGAAGCTGAATCAAAAATAAAAAAGAGGAAGGGAAAACTTCAGTGAAGTGTGCACCAGTGCTTTTTTCTCCACAATCATGGAAGAGAATACGGAACTATTCAATAGCGAATTAAATCAGGAGTTGTCTAAAGTTTGTGAAGAAATGGAGAGGGGTCAACTGTTCGATTCGTCATACGATGATGAGTTGTATCATCACTGTGCGATGGTTGAAACACAGTTTAAGTATGTAAAATAAACATTCATTTCGATCATAATTTACATATTGTCTTATACAGTTTTTAATAAATTTAAACATTTTAGCAGTCAACCACTACAACTTGGAAGAGGAACGAAGCGAACGTGCAGCAAAGAATCCAAGATCATCAAAAAACCAACAACGGAAGCAGAAGCGCATACCTCTGCAGGGAACAGTATCAGTAACGATGATCAAGTGGAATGTCCAACGTGCCATATATTTATCAAGAAACGGTATTTAGCTAATCATTTTAAAAGTAATGTTCATAAAAATAATCTTTTAAATTCACATAATTCTTTATCAAACGTTAGTGTTATTGAATCTGCTTTTGGAAATAGGATTTTAACTTATAAAATCAAGAGTAGAGTAGATCGTTCGACATGGGTAAATTTTGAAACTCCTGAACTATTTTTAAATTCTATTAAAGATGATATTTTATTTTTATTACAAGAGTGTATTCATCAACACATAATTTTTAAGGTAAACTTCATATTGCATGCTGATTTTGTTCAACAAACTAAAGATATTCATGATACGTTCGATTTTCAAACGCTTAACTATATTATTTGTCAAGGAGATGACTTAAATATTTTTCTTTCATCTTTAAATGATACAATTACTACTAAAATTAGTGCTTTCGAAAAAAAAGATAGTGGATGGAGTCTAAAAAACATAAAATCTATAGACATGAATGTTAATAAATTTAACCCCCTACGCGGTACTTCATACATAGATCTTCCTCGTGACATAAAATTAAAAAAGGCTGTTATAAATGTAAAAAACAAGGATTATTTTTGTTTTAAATGGGCGTTACTCTCGGCGTTATATCCTGTAAACAAACACACCGATCGGGTATCATCGTACGTTAAACATGCAAATAAACTTAAATTTGATGGTATTTCCTTTCCGGTTAAAATTTCTGACATAGCAAAAGTAGAGAAATTAAATGATATTAGTATTAATGTTTTTGGGTTAGAATATAATAAAGAAAAACGATGTAATTCTATAGTAGGTCCATTATTTTTAACAAAGTGTCGTAAAGATAGACATATCAATTTATTATTTTTTTCCAAGGATACAAAAAATCATTATTGCTATATAAAAAATTTATCGCGGTTAGTTAGTAAACAAATTTCAAAAGACGGTCACATCATGTACATTTGTGAAGCATGTCTACTTCGTTTTCCATCTCAGGAAAGGTTAAATAACCATGAACAATACGATTGTGCTCACATTTGTACAGTATTACCAAACAGTGAAACTTTAAAAAAAAAGAATTGGTTTGGTCAACCTATTTCAAATGATAAAATTAAATTTGATAGTTATGAAAAAAAGTTAAAGATACCAATCGTAGTTTATGCTGATTTTGAAGCATTTTTAAAACCAATAGAATCATGTTCTAACGATCCTTCCAAACCTTTCACTCATAATATTCAGAAACATGAAGTACATAGTTTTGGATATTATATAAAATGTTCATATGATGATAAATTATCAAAATATGTAACATATTGCGGACCCAACTGTGCACAAGTGTTTATGGAAAGTTTATCTAACAATCTAAAAGAAATAAATAGACTTCAAAAATATCCACCACTTCCGCTAACAAATGAAGACAAAAACCAAATTTCAAATGCAACCATTTGTCATATTTGTGAAACTGAGTTGGCAAAACATTTTTATGATTTTGATTGGTACACTGGTAGTTTTATAGGTGTTGCTCATGAATCATGTTGTTCGAAGATCAGAACACCTAGTTATATACCAATATTTTTACACAACCTTAGTCACTATGATGCTCATTTTATTGTTCACGCGTTAAACTTTTGTGATGGTGAAGTCGAAGTTATCCCTCAAAATAAAGAAAAATATATATCCTTTTCCAAAAAATTAAAAGTGAATAACCACGAAATTATATTGAGATTCTTAGATTCATTTAAGTTTTTATCGTGTAAATTAGAAGAATTGGCCAAAAATCTCAGTAATGATCAATTTCAAGAATTACGTAGAAATTACCCTAATGATGAAGATTTCTTTCGTTTAAAACGGAAAGGTGTTTATCCATATGAACTTATGACTAATTATGATAGTTTAAGTCTAACATCGCTCCCTGAACAAAAATGTTTTTATAGTTCACTCACAGATTCACATATTTCAAATGATGATTACAATCATGCT